GGCAAGAGAAATGTACAGAGGCATCCAAACTGTGAAAGAACAAGTAACATTATCATAATTTGCAGAAGATATGATAATATAAATAGAGAACTCTAAGGACTCCACAGGAAAAGTAATTAAAACAATAAACCAGTTCAGCAAATTGGCAGGTTACAAAAATCAACTCACAAAAATCAGTTGCCTTCTTATATACAAACAAGAGCCAGAAGAAGAAAGTAAGAAAGCCATCTCATTTACAGTCTCACCAAAATGAAAATTAAATACCTGGGAATAAACCTAACAAAGGAGGTGAAGGATCTATACAAGAAAAACTATAAAACATTGTTAAAAGAAGTATAAAAAGACACAAAGAAATGGAAAGAGATCTCGTGCTCATGGTTAGGAAGAATATATATTATCAAAATGGTCATCCTACCCAAAGCAATTTACAGATTCAATGTAATTCCCCCATCTCAATGGCATTCTTTAAAGAAATGGATCAAATATTGCTAAAATTCATATAGGATTACAAAAGACTCCACATAGACAAAGTTTTCCTAACTAAAAAGGAGGAATATGATGGTATTACCCGTCCAGACTTCAAACTATACTATAAAGCCATAATAATTAAAACAGCATGGCATTGGAACAAAAATAAACACACAAATCAATGGAATAGAAATAAGAGCCCAGGATTAAAGCCACATATACATGGGCAACTAATCTATGACAAAGGAGGGAAGAATTAAACTGGAACAAGGAAAGCTGCTTCAATAAATGTTGAGAAAATTGGACTGCCACATGCAAAAGAATGAAACTTAATACTCATACTACATATGAAAATCAACTCAAAATGGATCAATGACCTGGATGTAAGACCTGAAACTATAAAATACATAGAAAACATAGGTAAAATTCTCTATGATGTAAACTACAAAAATATCTTTGCAAATTTGTTCCCTACAGCAAGGAAAACAAAGGAGAATATAAACAAATGGGATTACAACAAAGTTAAAAGCTTCTCTGCAATTAAAGAGGCAGTTACTAAAACAAAGAGACACCCTACAGAATGGGAGAAAATATTTACACACCATACAATTGACAAGGAACTGATATGGAAGATCAACAAAGAGCTTATATGATGCAACAAAAAGAAAACAACTCAATCAAAAAATGGGCAGAAGGACTAAATAGGCACTTTCCCATGGTGGACATATAGATGGTGAACAGCACATGAAAAAAAATGTTCATTTTTTTAATCAGGGAAATGAAATCAAAACCACAATGAGATATTACTTCACACCAGTGAGAAATCAAAAATCCTGGAACCACAAGTGCAGCAGGGTGTGGA